AATAAAGTTGCAACTATGCCAAGATTGCTACCTGAAGAAATCTTGGAAAGAATGCAATGATGGGTTGTTTGGATCAATCAATTATATCATAATCCAACAAATCTGCAACTGTCAACTTAACCACATCATCAAAACAACTAGAATGTGGTGAATGATGACATCTCTACCCATGGATGAATCATAAGTCGCATTTCTGCAAACAATGAAAAACATGCACACAAATCAAAAGCATACACTAAAACACAAAAGTAAACATACTCCTACCCAATACACGACCACGTTTACTTTTAGTAACAATTGCAACACAAATACATACCAATTTTCATGCCTAATCATTGACAAGAATAAACAAACCTTGTAGCTACTTATCGATTGCCCAACATAAAACCTACAAGCAACTACGTGATAATCTAGCATCATTTCGATTAGCCCAAAAAAGGAAAAGACAAAAGTATGAAGTTAATAATTAACTGAGTATACTCACGGTAGACTTGTAAACCCAATGAAAGCTTTCTTAATGCTGCATTTACTGACTAAATAATCTGTTTGAGCAAAAAACCTATTCAAAACATTAAAAAAAAGGTATAAGTTCGGCACTTACAAATATACGAAAAAAAGTGGTAACCATATCAAGATTGCTACCTGAAGAAAACTTTGAAGGATCCAACAAATCTACATTTGTCAACTTGACCACATCATCAAGACAACTAGAGAACGGTGCAAGATGGCATCTCTACCCATGGATGAGAATCATAAGTCATATTTCTACAAACACCGAAAAAAAATGCACACAATTCAACAACATACAATTAAATACAAGAGTAAACATACTCCTACCCAATACATGACCACGTTTAATTTTAGTAACTATTGCGGCAGAAATACATACCAATTTCCACACCTAGTCATTGACAAGAATAAACAAACCTTGTAGGTACTTATCGATTGCCCACCAAACCTTGCTGCTACGTGATAATCTAGAATCATTTCGATTAGCCCAAAAAGAAAAAAGATAAAAATATGAAGTTAATAGTTAACTAAGTATACTCACGGTCTGCAATCTAGCACAATGTATAGGTTTACAGAACCCAAGGAAAATTTTTCTTAATGCTGCATGCGGTGACTGAAAAACTACTTAAGCAAAAATCCTGTTCAAAATATTAAAAAAAATGTGTAAGTTCAACACTTAAAAATATACCAAAAAAAGTCATAACCATGTCAAGATCACTACCTGAAGAAATCTTGAAAGGAATGAAATGATTGATTGTTCAGACGAACCAATTTTATCATAATCTGGCAAATCTGTAGCAGTAAACTTGACCACATCATCAAGACAACTAGAGTGCAGGGCATGATGGCATCTCTACCCATGGATGAATCATAAGTCGTATTGGGGACTAAAATGAACTAAATAGTAAACATTGGGGGCCACCACTATATTTAGTCCAACAAAATAAAAACCAACCATGGTGAGACAACAAAAGCTAGAACTACATTATTGCAGCAAACAAACAAAAAACCTATGAAGAATCCACTACTTTGCTTAATGAGGTTTTCATTAAGCAGAAGGAAATTGAAAATAGCCAAGCCAAAACCTAAAGTTAGTGTAAGTGGTACCTTCAGCAATCAACATGCAATCCATAAAGCCGTGAGGATTTATTTTGAGAAGGAAAGGATGGAAGAAATAGGAAGATATAAAAGAAAAATAAAAAGACAAAGAAAATGAAAAACACTAAGAGGTTATTATTGACAGCATAGCATGCAAAATCCCATTAATGGTTTCAATATTGTGCATATTGATGGAAAACCACTATGAAAAAACAATTTTCCTAGCTAATATATTTTAACAAAAAATAAAGATCATATCCAAGTATCAAAAACATTGGCACGGAAACCCATACAAACCATATTAAAATAATGATAAATTAAACATTAAAACAAACACAACACGAATACTCCTAACCACACCACTAAAAAAGCCAAAATACACACATGACAAAAACAGATGGAAATAAAGAAATGCAAATACTCAACAAACTACATATACACATTCACACGAATACATATGTACTTACAAACATAGACCCATAAAGTACACAAATGTGCACTACAATAAACACCGATAAGCAAACAAACACGCACTAAAAAAGCAAATTGAAAAAAATTGCACTCCCCAACTAAAAAACATGCCTGCATTCAACGGTATACACTAATTAAAAAAATACAAGACGCTCACAATAAACACAGTAATCAAAAAAAGTATAGACCAAAGTAAAAATAACACATCCATATGCACAAAGAGCAATAATAAACACACGCCCACACTAAACATAACACACTCCAAAACACATACCACTAAAAATACAAATACGCAAAATACATATGAAGGTGAATAAAAAAAAAGGAAAATAATCATTAAAATGCACATGCACACTAACACAAATACGTATGCACACACAAACACAAACTCATAAAGTACACATGTGCACTAAAATATACGTTGATAAGCAAACACAGACACAAACTAAAAAAACACACCAAAAAAAATGTGCGCTCAGATACAAAAACAACCACACATTCAAAATATAAACTAATTAAAAAATACAGACACTCGGAAAAAACACATAATAATTAAAGAAAATACAGACCCTAAGAGAAAAAACAAACATTCATAAGCATAAAGACGAATAAAAACAGACATGCACTCTTTAATACAGTAGCACCACGCTGATAAGAACACACCTAAAAATACACTAATAAAAATACACACTAACGCAACAAAGTACACATACTGATAAAAACACATATTGACACAACCACACACACAAAAACAAGAGAGCACACTAATAAAAACACACGCACATATGCAAAAACAATGTCAAAGATAAACGAACACGATCACCAAACATAAGTACTCACAAGAATATATACCAGCGGAAATACACAAATATTAAAAACATATGCAAACACTGAGAAAAATGCACAAAGTCAAAAGCATACACTAAAACACAAAAGTAAACTTACTCCTATTCAATACACGACCACATTTACTTTTAGTAACAATTGCAACAGAAATACATACCAATTTCCATGCTTAGTTGTTGACGAGAATAAACAAACCTAGTAGCTACTTATCAATTGCCCAACATAAAATCTGTAGATAGCTATGTGATAATCTAGTATCATTTCGATTAGCCAAAAAAGAAAAAATATAAAAGTATGAAGTTAATAATTAACTGAGTATACTCACAGTGGGTAATCTAGCATAATGTATAGGTTTACAAAACCCAAAGAAAGCTTTCTTAATGTTGTATGTGGTGACTAAAAAACTTGCTCAAACAAAAATCCTGTTCAAAACATTAGAAAATAGTGTAAGTTCGGCACTTAAAAATATATCAAAAAAAGTCGTAGCCATGCCAAAAGCGCTACTTGAAGAAATCTTGAAAGGAATGCGATAATGGATTACTCAGATGAATTCATTGATGAATCATAAGTCATATTTCTGCAATTTAAGGCTTGTATTAGCAACTTAAGAGAAAAGATGGAAACAAAAATAATTTTACTACCTAGAGTTTCATATAAAGAGGGAACTAAAACTGCAGGACAACAATGACATTCAATAACCTTTCCACTAACAATAATGAAGCCAACCACCATTAGTTTAGAAGCTGGAGGTCAGGGGAAGAATTTTGGTAAATATAACATTGGGTCTTAAAGTTGGGTCATGCTGCGAGCGTCTCTCAAGCAGCTCAGCCAGCTTCAAATGAGTTTACTTTGGGATAGTGGGCCATAAACCCTGAAAACTAAATCACCAAAAGCACCTAACAAGTCATATTTTCTTAGCACAGTGTTATACATCGTGTGATGGCTAGTCTCTATTTTTTATCGAGGTTTTGGAAGAAGGGTCCTAATTCCTGACGATGGCTAAAAATTAAGTGGTATAAACAGAATATAAGAAGAATACAGTTGAGTAGATGCTTTACCTTTTGGACAACTCCAACAACTTCTTATAACGGGGACAAATACTCGAATGGAAGCTAACATGTCAAAGACGAGACAATATATTATGAAGGAACAAAACCCAATCTCTGGCCGAACTACCATATCAAATTCCTCTTGCCGTGGCACACAATACCTTTCCGGTGAGCAACTCCCATAACACAATCCCAAAACTAAAAACATCAGCTTTGTATCACACAATATCACGTCGATAGCTAAGGAATATCATTCGTCAATTTATATAAGAAAGTGCACAAAAGCAAAAGGGAAAAAAAAGTAATACGCTGTTGAACTTTTTCAGCCACAGCTCTGAACCCATGCCAGCATGCCTTTCATACAGTTTCACGCGCCATTCTTCGTCGGTATTCCCTAACTTAAACGCAAACATCACTGGCTTATAGTTCATGGTAATGACCCTGTGTGTAATTAAAACAAAGGTAAACAAATAAAAAATCAACAACCAAATTAACCTGTGTTGTGCCACCCACTTCAAGAAAGAGGGGAGGGGAGCCTGACAGACAAGAAAAAAATTAAATCATTCTGAACAAGAGTGGTGTACATCCACTTCAAGAAGGATTCTCCTGTGTGTGTGAACATTTACCAGAGAAACCTGAAAGGCAAGAAACAACACAATTTGTAAGCCACTATCAATCCAGATCTCCACCACCGCCTCACATTTTGATCTTCTAATACCCTCATAGAACTCTAAAGCACCAACATCGCTAACCTTTAGTAACTACTAGCAAATCGTAATAATGACGCCATTTATACTATTCATAATTCTTACCACCACCAACTGTTAACTTAATTAAATGTGAACCTATAGAACTGTTTATTAAATGTGAAACTATAGAACTCAAACCCCTGTTAGGACACAAAATTACAAAATCACAAGAAAAATTTAAAAACTAAAGAAAAATGACAGTATGTAAAAAAAGATCATAGTCGAATAATAAAGCTCCAACATGTTATGTAAAAAAGTGCACCTCAGCAGCCATCCATCAATATGTCCCAGTTTCCGCCGTCATATCTCTTGTCTGAGCTTCCACTCTGGCAACTCCAAAATCAACCACCTGAACTACCTAAAGTGCACAACATGATTAAAATCTTCAAGACATGCTGAAGTTAAATCTTGACATTTCCACAACACTCCTTAATGACACAAGTTTACTCAAACTTGAAAGAGATTCTATGAAGATATACAACATGTATGGGGCTTACAAAAATCATCTAGTTCAAGGTTAAGGAAAGGGAAGTTTTTTGACCCTGCTTGGAGTGCACATGCATGTATAGCTGGGATGCTTAAACTTCTTGAGCCAAAAAAGGCAAGATTAGGCTAGATGATTTTGAAGAGAGATACAAGGACCAAGGGAGCCCAAAGATTACACATTTATACATGGCATTTATTTTGTAAGGCTCTCTCTCTCCGATTGTCGTATGGAATCCTTTTATGTTCATAATTTTGTAGACAAATATGAATCATATGATACAACAAATAAATTGAAATGGCATTATATTTGACCAATATCAATAATTATTCCTTAATTTCAAGAAGAAAGGAAGATAAGAGATTAAGAACCATGCAAACATCCCAAACTGATTTTTGTGTCCTCTAACTAACATTAACAATCCATAATTACCAGTACGCCTTTTTTTCCCTTGGGCAGGGGGGAGCGTCCATATATAGTCATGTACATTTGGGGTAAAAAGCCTCAAATTTTTCATACTGTTTCACAGATATATAGTCAACTCACCAATATAGAAATTGAGGCAAATGAAATATAAGATATGACAAATTCAGAGTCCAACACATAAATGCTGGACTATAACAATAACACATTCTCGTTATTATAGTAATAGAAAGAAAAAAACATCTTACTTCATTTTCATCCATCAGTTCGCAGCCTTCAAGTACCTGTGGATTATATTATTCTGGTGCAAGTAGGTCATTCCCTTGGATAAGATCGCTACTTTTAGTAAAGATGGAAGCCTAAAAGTACACTTTTGCTTGAGTAGATAGTCATATACATTTCCACCAGACATATATTCTGAAACACAATAATAATAATAATAATAATAATAATAANAACAGATTAACACAACTCCTCCTGTCAGTAGCTCCCCTGGCTAGAGACCTACTTCATCGGAAGCCAGCCTCGCAACCATGCACCCCCCACAACCCCACCAACTCCAGTTGTCCACCCCACCCCGTCCAATGGCACCCAACTATTCTGTCACCTTCGTTGTCTCCCCACATCCGATTTCAACCAAATTCCATCTATTATTTACTTCAAAAGTAAGAGGTGGTCATGTCATTTGTCAAATGACTGGGTCGTCGTGTTCTTTCAAAAAAAATAAAAAATCAATCAAGTAAGCTTACCTAAAATTTGAAGTTCAACTTACAGCATACTATAGTTTGTTTCAAAGCAAATTTTGTACCTATCCAACAATAAGGGATCGTACAAACTAAAGTTCTATACTATAAAATATCACCTTAGCTACCAATGAAATGAAATAAAATTCTATCTACCCACCATGGCCCTTTAGTAACCATTAGGCAGTTCTATGTTGCTAGGAATGTAACTTCTGTGACACTCCTTGAAAAATGGCCCAATTGCAGGGATACCCCCTATAGTTTCTGTCACTATTTACTGTAACAGAAAGCAGTAAAAGATATAAGTAATCCTAACAAAATATTCCGTTATTTGTCCTATACTAATTACTTAATTTGACCTTAGATTAAATTCTTATCTGATATTAAAATAATTTAATCATAATTAAATAACTTAATTTTTTTACACACACAGACACATATATATACCCTTCAAGTTATTATACACACCCCTCGTGTTGACTTTTAATTCAGTAACTAACATTCAGTTTCATATAATTAATACTAATTGACCTTCAATTTTATCAAATTGACATTAATTCAAATACTAATTTTATCACACTAACATAATTTTATCAAGTTAACACAAAATTAATATTTAAAAATCCAATTTAATCAAATTACCATTCAATTTATTTAATTAATAATTTGGATTCATCAAATTAACATCGTATTGAACTTTAATTTCCTAAAATTAAAATTCACTTTCATCCAATTAACAGCTATTTTATTGGTTTAATATCAACTAACATTCAATTTCATGAATTTTACATGTAATTTCATGAGATTAACATTAATTTTATCAATTTAATACCAAATTAAAATTATAACTTTATCAATTTGATACCAAATTAGACAACGTGCATGTGTGCATGAGTGTTTTGTCTGAGATAATTAGTATGTGAGGTAAGAGAAAAATAAAATTGTAGGACATGAGGGTGGTTTGATTTTAGGATTAGTTTTGTTTAATAAAAGAATAAGTTTGTTTAAGTACAAGATTTATACAAACGTGAAGGGTAAATTTGTCACTTACAAAAGAATATTGGCTGACATCATTACTTTTTTGATGTGTCCGTAGTGTCTTTGACTGCAATGGTAGTATGTAAAATGGACCTATAAACAATAAGGAATGACAATGATATTTTAGAAACCATAGTGGCATTCCTAGCCATTTTCACCGTCAGTGAAATTTACCCTATAAAATTCTATCTAATCTCCATGACCCTTTAGTAACCATTAGGCAACTCTAGGTTGCTAGGAATGTAACTTTGCTAAGTATGAACAAAACGATATACTGATAAAATGAAAAACATACCTCATTAAGCATAGGCCACAATCAATTTCAAAATGGGAAGTGAGATGAATTTCAAATTCTCCATAATGCAACATGGGTTTCAGCATCACTCAGAAATTATCAATNTCAATTTCAAAATGGGAAGTGAGATGAATTTCAAATTCTCCATAATGCAACATGGGTTTCAGCATCACTCAGAAATTATCAATTTAGTGAAGCATAGAATAGATGTACCTCAATCTTCAAAACTTGATTTTCCAGTGCAATTCGGAGCCTTTCTATTTCCTTAGAATTGATGGAACATTCTTGTGAGTGATACGAATACAAATGAAACAACACGTAAATATGTACGTCTTCAAGCTTGGCCATTAAAAATTCAAATGTGTCTTTGAACAACAACGGACATCAAAAAATCAAGTGCATGACTTCTTTCCTGGACTACATAAATTGATGGAATCTACAAGTCATTTTCAGGAGATCTTGATGATGCAACCATTAAAATGAAAGCAAATATACACAACAGACAATCTAGTCTTAAAGGGCATTCTAGCTACGTAATAAGAAACATTACCGTAAGGAGATACCTCATATGGCCACCATCAACTGCAAAAACATCTAAGAAATTACCATCAACTGTTGAAAAAGCATGTGCTTCCTGGATGTTCAGCCCAATCTCATAAATTAAGGAAGTCAACTGCAAATTTCCACATTAAAAAGAAAAATTCATTAGATGCTAAATTGCAATTTGAATTGTATAGATATCACTGGAAGGCAAGCTTGTGGACACATATGCAACCTTATCTCCCCCATTCCCACGAAAAAAATATCAGGCATGTTTTCAAATGTTGAGAAATCAACCGACTACAGTTATGGATTTGGATGTTTTCCAATCAAGCCGAACAGGTGGCTCACTATTTAATCAACTCACCATGACATGTTAGTCACACAAATTTTTTCTTAGATATAGCCTTTGGCTTTCCCTTGTAACACCAACAGAGAAGCGAGAAAATAAAAAAGGAGACAAAATACACATACCCAAGGTTCAAAATTGACATATTTCCACTTTCTTCACAAATGGGAAACAATGGACAAACACTGGTCACTGGTTACAAACATACCCCATTTTAGACTTTTTGTGCTTCATTACACTAAACCCCACACAGACACNCCTGACGATGGCTAAAAATTAAGTGGTATAAACAGAATATAAGAAGAATACAGTTGAGTAGATGCTTTACCTTTTGGACAACTCCAACAACTTCTTATAACGGGGACAAATACTCGAATGGAAGCTAACATGTCAAAGACGAGACAATATATTATGAAGGAACAAAACCCAATCTCTGGCCGAACTACCATATCAAATTCCTCTTGCCGTGGCACACAATACCTTTCCGGTGAGCAACTCCCATAACACAATCCCAAAACTAAAAACATCAGCTTTGTATCACACAATATCACGTCGATAGCTAAGGAATATCATTCGTCAATTTATATAAGAAAGTGCACAAAAGCAAAAGGGAAAAAAAAGTAATACGCTGTTGAACTTTTTCAGCCACAGCTCTGAACCCATGCCAGCATGCCTTTCATACAGTTTCACGCGCCATTCTTCGTCGGTATTCCCTAACTTAAACGCAAACATCACTGGCTTATAGTTCATGGTAATGACCCTGTGTGTAATTAAAACAAAGGTAAACAAATAAAAAATCAACAACCAAATTAACCTGTGTTGTGCCACCCACTTCAAGAAAGAGGGGAGGGGAGCCTGACAGACAAGAAAAAAATTAAATCATTCTGAACAAGAGTGGTGTACATCCACTTCAAGAAGGATTCTCCTGTGTGTGTGAACATTTACCAGAGAAACCTGAAAGGCAAGAAACAACACAATTTGTAAGCCACTATCAATCCAGATCTCCACCACCGCCTCACATTTTGATCTTCTAATACCCTCATAGAACTCTAAAGCACCAACATCGCTAACCTTTAGTAACTACTAGCAAATCGTAATAATGACGCCATTTATACTATTCATAATTCTTACCACCACCAACTGTTAACTTAATTAAATGTGAACCTATAGAACTGTTTATTAAATGTGAAACTATAGAACTCAAACCCCTGTTAGGACACAAAATTACAAAATCACAAGAAAAATTTAAAAACTAAAGAAAAATGACAGTATGTAAAAAAAGATCATAGTCGAATAATAAAGCTCCAACATGTTATGTAAAAAAGTGCACCTCAGCAGCCATCCATCAATATGTCCCAGTTTCCGCCGTCATATCTCTTGTCTGAGCTTCCACTCTGGCAACTCCAAAATCAACCACCTGAACTACCTAAAGTGCACAACATGATTAAAATCTTCAAGACATGCTGAAGTTAAATCTTGACATTTCCACAACACTCCTTAATGACACAAGTTTACTCAAACTTGAAAGAGATTCTATGAAGATATACAACATGTATGGGGCTTACAAAAATCATCTAGTTCAAGGTTAAGGAAAGGGAAGTTTTTTGACCCTGCTTGGAGTGCACATGCATGTATAGCTGGGATGCTTAAACTTCTTGAGCCAAAAAAGGCAAGATTAGGCTAGATGATTTTGAAGAGAGATACAAGGACCAAGGGAGCCCAAAGATTACACATTTATACATGGCATTTATTTTGTAAGGCTCTCTCTCTCCGATTGTCGTATGGAATCCTTTTATGTTCATAATTTTGTAGACAAATATGAATCATATGATACAACAAATAAATTGAAATGGCATTATATTTGACCAATATCAATAATTATTCCTTAATTTCAAGAAGAAAGGAAGATAAGAGATTAAGAACCATGCAAACATCCCAAACTGATTTTTGTGTCCTCTAACTAACATTAACAATCCATAATTACCAGTACGCCTTTTTTTCCCTTGGGCAGGGGGGAGCGTCCATATATAGTCATGTACATTTGGGGTAAAAAGCCTCAAATTTTTCATACTGTTTCACAGATATATAGTCAACTCACCAATATAGAAATTGAGGCAAATGAAATATAAGATATGACAAATTCAGAGTCCAACACATAAATGCTGGACTATAACAATAACACATTCTCGTTATTATAGTAATAGAAAGAAAAAAACATCTTACTTCATTTTCATCCATCAGTTCGCAGCCTTCAAGTACCTGTGGATTATATTATTCTGGTGCAAGTAGGTCATTCCCTTGGATAAGATCGCTACTTTTAGTAAAGATGGAAGCCTAAAAGTACACTTTTGCTTGAGTAGATAGTCATATACATTTCCACCAGACATATATTCTGAAACACAATAATAATAATAATAATAATAATAATAACGTAGAGCAAAAAGAACAATATTCAAGTTGGAATGAAGCTAAACATAACAAAAATGTAGGGACAACAAAACCAAGTAAAATCCTTAAGCAACAACTCCTTCGTGTGTGCATAACCATAGTCCTCAGTAAGATGATGGAAATTTACCTGTTACAATACACAAACTTGCAGGTTTGGTACAATCACCCATGAATTGTACAACAATCTTGTGTCGAACTTTCCTGCAAGTGCCAAAAAGGAGTCACTTGGGCCGAGATATATGTCTCTAATGAGCAAAAGCTCACTGGTTGAACTACACGACCCAACATTGAGGCCTAAAATAATACACTCACAAAGAACACCAATGGAACTGATCCTGTTTTTTCCCTTGGAGGATTTTTAAGAACATCCGATTTGCATGACATTTGGATGAGTAAGCGAGAGAGAATTAAACTCCTTACAAGTACAAGGGACAAGATATCGGCATACCTACCCTAGGAAGATGGTAGAACTGAACCCATATATTGATGTATCTCTGAAGGGTGGTGTCAATGCATGCAGGCGTGCATGTGAAAACACGAGCAAGATCTAGCTACAAAAAGACTGAAGCTCCTAACTAATCCTTTCTTTTCTAGCCTTGCTTGGGGGAGCACACAAAGAACCATAGACTAGATGCCAGAAAGAAAGAAAAAAATGCACACACAGGGAAAGGGAGACAGTGCTTAAGTAGATATAGAATAGACTTGGAACAAGAATCAGGAATGAAAATTTGAAGCAGTTCTCTCTCTGTGGTTTCATAGAATGCAAATTCATTGCAAATAGTACAGCTCATGCCTACATCAATAGAATTCCACAAACCTCATAATATACACTTCTTGTGAAAACTGTCTCTGCATGTCTGAACTTCCACACTCAGACTTCAGGACTTTGATGGCTACTTCCTGAGTACGGTATGCACCCTTGTATCTGAAACAAACAAAAGACACAGTTAACTGTACACCCAAAATGGACCAATAGCTGTCTACTTGACTGGTATCTAATGACATCAATGAAACAAGGTTTTAAGTATTGGTTGGGACATGAATGCACATTTACTGTCCTTAAAATTTAACGTTCAAAACGCAATAATAAGAATATTATAAACTTACAAGTCACCTTATGACACAGATGCAATTTTGCTCTCAAGTACCAGGTATTGACGACCAATTTCACCAGCATCAGTGTCATCACCAGGGATTGTCATATGATCAAGTACACTTTTGATCCCCTAATGATCATGATCTCCTGGAGGAGATAATGAATGTCAATTTGGCCAAGAAAGTTTCTGCATAGCAACTCAAAATGTCCTAGTCCCCCAGGGGGAGCAAAAGAAGGTAACAGACAACAAATGTAAAGGAACATGAGATACTGGATACATCGAGCAGAACATATCAGATACTATAATACAACGGCATTGTATCCTTTCTGTATTCGGATTTTCCATATTTTTTAGTATTACCTCCACTTCAGTCTCACGCAGTAACACCTTAAATTTAAGAAGGTATTTATGCCACCAAAGAGGAAGTTTGTAAGACAACAATTAGAGAGAATTGTTATGGTCAATAAGTCCTGATTAAAATGATCAAGCAAAACAAAGCACATTTGTTGATTGTGCTTAGTTATTTTAATTTTTCCATGCTTTCTAGGATAAAGCATTTAGGGTGAGAAAAGCACAGAGATTATATGCCACAGTTGCAAAATATTCCAAGAGCATACAACACAGATGATTCAGTTGGAACATACTCCAAGAGATAGCACACAACTGAAGCTATTTTCAACTTTATCTGACCAAATGATCTTTTTCCCACCTATAAGTAGGATTTTAATAATTGGTTTGTGGCAAGTGATTTCAAATCTATGGACGATAAGTTTGAAAGAATTCCCTCCAAAATTCCAAATGAAGCTTCATTATCGCCAGCCAAAAAAGCACAACAGGGACTTCACATGGAAGCGAATTGACAACAAATACAAGGAGTATTTAGAGAAATTTAAGGGTAAATTTCACTTTGACACCGAGTTTGGAAGAAAAACAAGGCAATCCTTGAAACTTGTAANAAAACTGTTTTGTATATTTTTTGAAACAATATCTTTAGAATTTAGAAAACACCACAATCACCAAACTTCCACCCCCACCACCACTACTATTTTTATTTATTGTTTTATGGGTTACGGTCTAAATAAGTTTTATTTCATAAAATTATTTTTAAAATTATATAATTAAACAAATTCTGTAATACAAAAAATATTAAAACATAATTTTTTAAAATTATTTTTAAAAATAATTTTTGAATACAATTTTTTAGACGTAAACCAAACCAAACAAACCCGAATCGTTTGTCGCCATATATCTATCCAAGGTTTCCAGTTGGCTGCCTTTTTGTTTCTTTCGGAAAGTTTCCAGTTGACTGACTTCAGTTGGCCTAAACATTTCATTTAACATAGACAGGAATGAATCCGTGATTGAGGAGCCGAGTGCAAGCTGCTAGTGAGCTGTAAAACACCATACAGCTAGCTGCACGTGACCACACATTATCACAGATCTGAACATCACCCAAATAAGCCCAACGATTCACAGTCCAAACATTTTTAACCTTAATATTAAAAAGTAATGTTTTTATTTTTTATATATTTTCAGTAATACTGGGTTTTTTTTTTTTTTTTTATGAATGGAACGTGTCAAGTAGCCCAGATTCAAAGTTTTTGAACCCGTGATCTCAAAGTTACGAGCTACCAAACTGTTTTACTCCGTGATGGGGAGAAAAATTGAAAATTAATAGATAAACAAAGATTCAATGCACCCCTTTATCATATCTCTGTACAAATATTTTAATCCTTACCAACTTGATCTTATTGCCCCTAATAACAAACATGCATGAACCATTTCACGAAATATGTGTCCGAATAGTCAAAATTCTCGACGGGGTCTTTTGCTCGATCTAAATTTTCAATATATTATTTCTAAGGATTCTTTCGTGTAGGTCAAACAAGATGTGAATTCAAGCGTAACTAATTATTATTTTCGTTGAATCTCAAAAAAATAAACAGTTAATAACAGATCATTTGTTTCTATTGTTAGAACTCGTGATTAATTCAATGACCAGAATCTATAAAAATTGTAATTAAAACGAACCCAAAATCCTAAATAAGTACTCGGTGACTCAGTGAGTTTAGTAGATGTGGGTGGAGTCAACTCACCTGAAAAGTGAGACCTGAACCAGAGTGCTCGGCCACCACATGTGTGCCGGCTCCACCACATATTTCCTCAACAGCCCCGCCCAACCGTACCCCAACACCTGCCGGAAAATAATGAAAATTTTCAAAAATTATATAGTTGAACTTTGATAATCAAGATAAATTATAAAACCACGTAATTATCAACTTTGCACTGCTTTTCTTGAAGCAACAAAAACATTTTTTCTAAAAAAAAAATTTGAAGAAATGAAAGCAAGAAAAACACTTTCAAACACCACCCAGAAATGACAAGTTCTTACCTGTGTAGTTATGATCAGTAACCATCCGGCAAAAAATGAAATTTTCCGGCGATAAAATGCTTTGATAATGTCAATAATCATAACGGCGTAGGCTGATCCATTACCAAAAGCACTTCCAGCATTAGCAAAGATAGAGATGAGGACATGCTCCTTCATGTTGAAAGGACTCGGGTTCAGAGAGAACAGTCTCGATCCGAACCCCGGTATTCTGAACTTGGCCGTCGGAAGTACGGCGGCCAAGAAGTGGCCTATAGGTAGAACGGCCACTTGGACGGTGATTTGGGTTATGATAAGTGGTTCGGTCCGATAAGAGAAAAATTGGTTCAAGAAAGATAGGAGGCCACATGATAGTAGGCCCAAGAACCACATCCGGAAAGTCCATACGGGTAGGTTTGGGTCGTCCGTGTTGGTCACGGTTAGTCGGACTTCTTCGATGGGCGATTCATCATCGTCGTCGTTGTTTTTGTCGATGGCAAAGTGTTCTTTTGTGGCTGAGAAGGTGCTGGTGCTGGNGGCGATTCATCATCGTCGTCGTTGTTTTTGTCGATGGCAAAGTGTTCTTTTGTGGGTGAGAAGGTGCTGGTGCTGGTGCTGGTGCTGGGGTGTAGTGCTCCTACTTCCACAGTACCCATGCTTGAAAAAATATGAGAGAGATAGTGGTTGCTTTTTGCTTGCTTCTTGGTTCTAATCTATATATTGCATGTTTGTAGCTTGACTTTTGTGGCCTAAGTATCTTGGCAAGTGGGAGAGAAATACGTATATATCAACAGGATTTGATTATAGATTAAAATACACTTGTCCTTTAACTTTGTATTTTCTCACACTATGATAATTATTTTTTCAATGGGTGAGGTCTTTTGTTCAAAGGGTCTCTCAAGTTTATAACTGGTGTCACTTACGTCGCTAAAATCTAAAATTAATGTTTGAGAAAACGCTTAGAAGAAAAAAAAAAAGTGTTTTATGAAAGAGTAATGCTAGATGAATTTAAAAACTAGACTTAAAAATTAGATTTGATAATCTCAACCATTGAATAGGTAATGAGACCCAATAAATGCTGGGACCTACAGTGAAATCAATGGTTGAAATTATCAAGTCTAATTTTTAAGTTTAATTTTTAAGTTCATGTAGCATTGCTCTTTATGAAATTTCCTTGAAGTGTTGTCATATGAGATGTATATGACCACCACCATTAGTCAATTTAGATCAATGTTTTTTATTGGATTAAGGTAACTCAAATTAAAATTTCGAGTACTAAAAAGATTCAATAAAAAAATGAGAATCAAAGTAACACAAAGAATGCATATGTAAAAGATCATTATTGGGGGATACATATATAATTTGAACATACTTTACTCGGTATCATACCGCATTCCCCTTGTATGTGTTCATAAAATAAAATAAAATAAAAAGATGAACTAAAATTTTATTTGGTTGCTGCAAGAGTCTAAGGTTAATCAATAAGCTCACATCAACTCCTCTTGTACCATTTTGGAGGTGGTTTTTTTTTTGCTACAGGGTGTCTAAAAGTATATCGATTATTCTATCGAACTCGAATATTGGTTATCGTAATTCGAGTTGGTTTAAAACATATCTCATAAAGAACAAGTGTGATTGACCCTTAGGGAGTATGAGAAATGTTGAATCTGAAACCTCTGAATTATTAAATAACAGACTCAACCACTGAACTACTCTTAAGAATTTTTGGGAGGTGGTGCTTAGATTTTAGCTTATTAGTCTTCTTTGGGCTCTTCGGATTACAATATGATGTTAAATAAAATATGCATATAACCTCTTATGTATGTCAATAAAAAAAAAAAAGGTCATGGTGATATTTTGCATTCATTTTGCACTCATGTAGATTTATGCATCAATATTGTTTTGTTTATTGAATGGATTGATTAAAAAATAATAGTTTTACAAATGAGTTGTAAGAACTTTAGGGCATGTTTAGTTTACGTTTTAAAAAATAGTATTCAAAAACAGTTTTTGAAAAAAATTTTAAGAAAGTGTTTTTAAAAAATTTTAGTTCGTAAAACCTGTTTGGTTATATATTTTTGAAAATAGTTTTAAAGAACAAAAAATAATAGAACTTGTTTGGATAATGATCCATAAAATTAATTTTTAACTTATCACTTGTGATAAAAAAAAAAAAAAAAAAACCTTATCACTCCACTCCAGTCAGGCTTCGCACCCAACTAGTCTCTCTCCATTATCTTCTCACACAACAGCCATTTCCCTCACCTAGCAAGTCAATTGGCTTCTCACCCAGCAAGTCTCCCTCTCTCTCCATTATCTTCTCATACAGCAACCATCTTTCTTTCTCTCTATTATCTTCTCAACCAGTAAAAACAAACACACATAGCCATATACACACACACACACAAATCTGTGTATAAATACAAATTTGAACACAGTTCTGTGTTCAAACAAATCTGTTGCGCAGAGAGAGAGAGAGAGGAGAAGATGAACAGCCAGGGAAAAGAAGATGATGAACAACCGGTCACCATTTTTTGTCTCCAATGAAACTTGAAGGGGAGACTTCATTAATTTGGAAATAGTTGTTTCCTTTATTTTCATTTTGCCTTACAAAACAATGAAAACATTATTTTGTTTTTCTCTAAAATCATATCTCAATTCTCAGAATTTTCAAAAAATTAGAGAATAAAAAAGCTAAACAAACAAGTTTTAGATGTTTTTAAAATATTGAGAACAAAACACAATTTTTAAAAACCTAACGAAACATGCCCTTAGTTTGAAGGAGAAGTGACTGTGATTTGGGACTAATCACACATGCCTTGAGCTTCATTGGCGAAACATTCCACAATCATTTGACTTCCAGCTTTTAAAATTTGTGCAGTTAAATAATTAAAAGTTTGGCTAGAGTCAAGTCAATGGTCACTCCGATTAATATGGATATTATTTACAGTACATGATTTGGAATCCAGAGTTTCTCCATTATGTAATGATATTTATTCACTCTTTGTCGAAAAATAGAAGGTTGGCTATGGATATAATTCGAAAGAATGAGGGGTTCTATTCTAAGGAAATTGCTATGAAGATAAAGTCGTTTAGTAAAGTAAAGAAGTTAATATAGTCAATCTTTTCGTGTTTTGGTATGTTTAAACTCTATTTGAGTTGACTATTATTCTTCAAGTTCAACTCAAAAATTTGGATATTTTCCGTTAAATTCATCTTTGTTTCCAACTAATATGCTATTTGCATTTCTATTGGGCTTGTTTTTACAATACGAGCTAGAATTTGATAATAAATTCAAAACACGGGTGCGTGCAGAAAGACTATTTCCGAGCCAAGTCTAAGTAACTTGAACATGCTTTATCTATGGTTCTGATTATTTTTATGTGTTCAGCACACTCTAGTGGTATCATCAGTGATCTATAGAAAGTGGAATGCGCAGTGATAGAATTTCAACAAGTGGGGACGCCACCAATGTCTTGCGCAGGCTTATCTGATAATCAAGCACTAATCACGGCAGCATAAGGAGAACAAGAACCAAAAAAAAGGTCCCATTATCGTGGAAAAAATATTCATTGCACGTGATACTACGTCGACATTATTATGTGGTATCACTAATCAATAATATATAAATAAAAAAAAAATGGATCTCACACAAGCTAATAACTACCTATCTATGTAAACCAATGACTACTCACTCTTTATCTATATAAGTCCATAACTATCCAAGTGAAGTTCACTTTATCCATTTAAAGTTTTATTATTAGTTGGTGACAGTATATCATCAATTCTACCATGGTATCACCGATACATTGAATAAAGTCCCCAACAAGAGGATGCTTCAAGGTTGAATCCCAAGCATATGATATTCACCGGTCACTACGAAAAGTAGCTATATCTGCTTTTGTTTCTCCATTATAATTCATAATTTTAGACGCATGATTGGCAAACTAGGGTCAACTATAATACAGAAAATTACTTTTTTATATTATATTTTAATTTTTTTATATCTCATAAAAATAAGAAACGGATAAATTATTTTATTTTATTTTATTTTATTTGTTTATTGTTTTTCAGTGAGAGGATGTAAATTATCTAAACTAAAATGAAAGGTTGTGGATGAATTTATATATTGTAGCCTTTTTTGACAAATGTAATATGAAAAGGTTTATAAAATTCAAGAATTTAGAAGGTAAATGGATGAATCCACTAGGGTCCAACTCTACATAATAAATTGGCCGATATAAACTAGTCTAAAAAAAGACAAGAATTCAATTAAACATAGCATAATAAACGAAACAAACCCAAAACACCAAAATTTTATAAAAATATGCAAAGGTTTTTTACTCACATTAAAATAGGTCTGACAATCCTAGACACCAACGAATACAATGTGAAATTGATACGGTTTGAATTTAGGTTTAGTCCTTGCGAGTTTGAGCGACAAATGAATTTATCTTTTACACCCGTCTAATGAACGGTCAATAAAAACTTAGTTTAGAACAATTTATACATAACTCAAATCTAATATAATAAGAATGTAACTATAAACAACCGTACATGAATTGGATACGAGTGAAAGCGGAATTCGGCTTAAATTCAAGTAAATTATTCCGCATAAGTCTTGATATTTTTGTATAGAATAGAAACAACAAAAAACAAGAGACATGGANATGCATCAATATTGTTTTGTTTATTGAATGGATTGATTAAAAAATAATAGTTTTACAAATGAGTTGTAAGAACTTTAGGGCATGTTTAGTTTACGTTTTAAAAAATAGTATTCAAAAACAGTTTTTGAAAAAAATTTTAAGAAAGTGTTTTTAAAAAATTTTAGTTCGTAAAACCTGTTTGGTTATATATTTTTGAAAATAGTTTTAAAGAACAAAAAATAATAGAACTTGTTTGGATAATGATCCATAAANTTCAGTTGGCCAGAGCCTCTACTTCCCGGTGGGAGGTCAGAAGTTGAAAGTTCTCTGGGTGTAATAGTGTAACTGTTTCGTAGAACAAGATTTCAGTTGTTTAAATAAATTGTATTTAAGTCTTTGATGTGGGTCTGAAGTCTCCGACGAAATATAAGTCTTAATTTAACTGATGTATAAGTTGAGAGACCGATTTATAAACTCAAATTTATTCTTAATTTTATTCAGAGTTATAAATTTGAGCGATTTAAATACGTCTCTATTCGTTGAAAACAGCCTACGAAATTTTTCCGTTATCTAAAAAGAAAAAATACTCGATGGTTTCACGTTAAACGATAACACTACGTACCAGTGATAAATTAGTGGCACTAATANCTGTTTGGTTATATATTTTTGAAAATAGTTTTAAAGAACAAAAAATAATAGAACTTGTTTGGATAATGATCCATAAAATTAATTTTTAACTTATCA